AAATAGTGAATAGAAACAGGGAAATATTTTTTACTCTGCATGTGGTATTGGTGACACCAGTGTGCCACCTCCAGGTGTGGTACATACATCTTAAAACTAGTGCTGAAAAATTAGAGGGAAGGGCAGAAAAGAACTGCAAATATATAATAAAGACATAAAGAGCTCAGCATTTATTTTTAGCAAGGAGGATATTATGAAGTGACTTGAATATATTTTCTTTATAAAGAAAATACCAACTTATCTTCCCTAGGAGAGAAAGCAATAATACTGGGAGAAGGGATTTTTTTTTTTTTTTAATTCAGGTCTATCTTCCTTTCACAAGGCAGTTTTAATCACAAAAATGTCTGAAATCAAGTTAGGGGTAAATGGGTAAAATGTGAGGATTTATGAAAGGCAGAGTGACAGGCTGAGTAATTAAGCACCCTTTCTGATGCTAAACACCATGAATCTATGATATGTAGATGAATTTGTTTTCTCCCATCTTCATTTGGTTGTTCCAAAAATAGATTTAATTGTGGTAAGTATTAATCCCATTTCTTTCCAAAAAGCGCTGGCACTTTCAAATGGAAAAATATTAGTTATTATAGAAAATCTGCAAATATTAAGTGTAAATGTTTATATTTACATCACCCTGAGATGAGTGGGCAGATGACGATATCCATGTGAAATGGCATTAATATGGATTGTTGAGTATAAAGAGGAGGAGAAAAATCATTTATTCAGAGATGATACTGTAAGGGTTCTTGTACTACTTCCTCTAAGTATATCGTACATTTTTAAAGTTTTAAAGTGTTCGGGCTTTCAGCTACCAGCTGCTCCCACGGAAGTTACTTCCGACAGGACCCGCGGTGGGTTCCTTTCAGCACCATGGCCAGCGTCAGCCTCCTGCACGGCTCTCCGGGCTTCCCACTCCTCCTCCTGCAGGCCTTACGCTTCTCAGAACAAAACCCTTTCTTTTGTAACATTCGGTGGATTACTTTGATTATCTTCCATAGAGAAGTCATAGTAATGATGGAAAAAGTGAGAGGCTTGTGTTTTGAAGTCATTAAAGATGCGTAGGTGTACAGTCCATGCAGTCAAATTGCAAACAACAAACTGCAAGTGAAAACCTTGTCCTGCTGGTAGCCATCATTGACAGGATGCATTGCCAAGTCTGGTGTATGGTGGGATGGCCTCAAACAGCAGCCAAACATCCAGAGAGCCTTGCGTTCACTCTTCCCTCCTTTGCCTTCTCACAGTGGAAATGGGAAGAAAATAGGAAGAACAAGAACTCATTTTAAAAAGTGATACACACACAGGTAAACCCAGATGACCAAACCACAGCTAAGGTATTAAGGAAAAACTTATTCTGAGGTTGGAAGCCCTGAATACACTGCTAAGCCAAACAAACAAAAAGCATGTCTATGAGAAGTTTACTCTCGTCTTGCAAGAAGGGAGTTAACTTCTCAAAACAGACAAGCAGAAAATAGGCAGCACTATTCATGGGAAAGAATTTTCTCCCACAACAGGTTTTTCCCAGGCCTAGTTTTCCCAGCAGCAAAAACCTCCTTAAGCAAAACTCTTTTTTCTCCTCAAATAAATCTTCTGCATTTAACTTTCTTTCCCTATGCTCATGTATCAAAACAAAGATCATTCACCAGTTACTGAAGTTGTCATAAAGGCTCAATTTGGGGAATTTAGTTTAAAATACTTAATTATTTATTTGGGTATTGGGAAACAAAGATGACAAACATCTAAACACGTAGGGAAGACACCTTTTTTGTCCCACTTCCCAGGTTCAACTTCAATCCAGACACCTCTCCTTCCTGCTTCCGAATCTCCACTCTCCACACCAGGAGTGATCCATATGGTGGTGGCAGGAGCTCCAGTAGAGGATAGTGCCACGTGAACTCTGCAGGCACCAGCAGAGAAGAATTCTGCTTCCCCCACGTGTTTTTTTCTTCCCCTCCCCACCTGGTCCTGTGAGGGGGAAGGGTATGGGGATGGATGTGTGTGTGTGTTCATCCTTAAGAGGCAGTCCCTCCAAAACAATGTTGGAAAAAGGGAATAAAATACAAAATCTCCTTTAACCATGACAGCAGCTTTACTGTGGAGTACTTCCTAGTGCTGTGGCCTTATTGTTCCCTCTGTTGTTCACTTGTTCCATTTCCCTTAGTGTCTTCTGCCTTTTCTTAAATACATCCTCACAGAGGCACTACAGATTCCTCTGATTTACTTTAGCTTTGGCAGTGGATCCATTGCTGAGCTGGCTTGAACCATCCATGCCTGGCACAGGACAGTCTCTGACTTACTCCAACAGAGGCCACCTTTGCAGGCCCCCGACTACCAAAATGGAATTTATACCCTGCATATAATGTCATATCTGAGCTAAAGAAACTAGCTTTGGAAGAGATCAATGTGTTGAGCAGGGCTCAGTAGTCTTTTTTATATGAAAGAAAGTGCCCCTTAAGGACTAGAGAAAGGGATGTTTGGCTCACTGCATCCGAGATCAAAACAAATGCATTATTTTCATTTGCCCTGGTTCCATAAGGTCTCATGGACTCATTTCAGATTTAAAGCACAGATTTAAAGTTGAAGGATAATGAGGATAAAATTAATTTGTTGTCCTCTTTGATTGAATTGCCCCTGCATTGTGCGTTGGATAATTACTTGCAGATGTGCAAAGAAAATGTAGAATGCTACTTCACTGATTTTCAGACATGAAAATCTATAAAGACTCAAAGGATTTGGAAATTAGGTGTCTTTCACCACTGATAAGGCAGACCTCTTAAGAAGCATGGGTATTCTTGATAACAGATATGAATACAGCATGCGGCAGAAAATCTCTCTTAGATCAATCTAACTGTTGCAAAGAACTTGCAGCACCACAAACTTTCAAACATGCACCCAAGATATGGAGAGAATCTGTGCTGTAGGTACGAGACTGCATGGAAGACCATGATATTTTATCTTCACAGTTACTATTTGTGCTAGCTAGGTTAACCTGGAACTGGCAAAATTGCAAATGCCAGATCCATAATTCCACTTTGTTTTTAGACTCATTTCATGTATCAGAGACTGGCTTGGTGCAGCTTTGCTTACCTTTTGGGATTTCTTTGACCTATTTTGCATGGGATTGATATCAGTGCAGCTCCATTAATTTCAGATGCATAAATCCAGACTTACATGAACACAAATGTCATATGTATGATGACATCCATATATTCTTCATTATATTCATGGACAATAGTCTACTAACAAGTCAATCAACCTCCTTCCAAACAAGCAGACTAATAAAAATAACTTATCAATATCCACCTATTGCTTTTTTCACATACAAAATGAAATCACATCAAGCAAACTAAAAAGCCTCAATGTTTCTTCTGTCTTTAATACAAGGGGGAAAAAAGGTAACTATTTTCTATCATGCATCCAAAATTCTGCTTATGGTGAATTGTATGACTTTAACAAGGTTTTTTAGTTTGCAGTGGATGAATTAAAAATTAACTGCCGTTTAAATATTCATTAATAGAATTTGTGTCATAAACAGACCAAACTAATGTCTCATTACAACAGGGGTGTCCATCATTGTCCACTAGCATTATCCTACAAAAAGCATATTACATGTTATCTATAGATATTTGTATGTTCTATTATAAGATTGAGATTGCACTGAAGTTGACTATTACACAGAAGATGCAGAGTCAAATCATGTCACCTCTTCATAGGCAATATAATCAGATTTCCATCACTGCTACCACTTTTAAACATCTTTGTCTTTATATGAGTCTGTTGCACCCAAACCTGGAAAACCGAATTGTACTAGGACCAAATATCCTTATATAAGAGCAATTTCTGTCATTTTTGTATTCAGAGTACAATGATTAAGCATGTAACAAGTCATTTGTGTCCAGACACCCATATGTCAGACATTCCTACAGAATATTTTATGGAGTACAATTGTTTTTTCTTGTTTTCATCATAGCAATTTGTTTTAGTGAAAAGATTGTTGGGGAGTGAATAGGTTGAGAAAGAAAAAATGTCAGAACATCGAGTACCTCCATTAACACAGGATGTTCTAAAGCTCTGGAACAGCTTTTCAAAAATATGCGGTGTTCAGTGTTTCTCAGTGTTCCCTGTAAAAGACAGGATATGAATAGACTGTAAGAAAGTAAACTTCGCCCAGGTTCTGGAAGTATTCAAGTAGAAAAATACACTGGTAGCATCCTTGAAAATTATGAAGTAAAATTTTTAGTTTTCTCTCCTCCCTTAGCTCCACTTTGATTCTCAAAAAAAAAACCCCAAACAAACACTTGATTCTTAAATGGACCTTCCAAAGCTTTGATTTTCCTGTCATGACTTAAATGGGTAAATAGATAAATTGTCAGTAGTTAAAGATAGAGGTATAGCAGGAAAATTCTGATGATTAGCATAGCTCCTGTGGAAACATACCTCTATGCAAAAGTCAAAGGGTTTCGTCCAAAGGCACTCCGTGGTTTCTTTAGAAAGTGAAGACTTTGACAAAACAACATTGCAAATCATTATCTTTATGAATTTAGTAAATTGTTTTACTGTAATTTTAGCTGATTACTAGACTTCCTGGATGAGATGTTCAAATCCCCACTGTTTCAGTAATATAGGCAGTTAAGCAGAGATCACGTTCTCACGCACTCAAAGTGCCTACATTTTTAATGAAATCATGCTGAAATTAGGTACCTAATAGAGAACGTAACTGTATTCTATAAAAAAAAAATATTTCTTTACTTCTTGTCATTTTGACACTTGTAAAAAGTTTTATTGCTTTACACTTGTCAGCCTTTGGATTTATTCAATTTCAGTCAAGAAGTTGAATCTTACGATAACCAAGTCTTCTTTTCATACCAGTGGGGCTTTTCTGCTATCATGGGTCTTCAGATAGCATATTTGTAAGAAATTGTCTATGCTTCCTCCTCCAGCAAGAGGTTTGCCTTTCGTTATAGAAGCCTTCATTTTTTCTTTCCTTCCACTTTGCTGTTATGCAGAAATGCAAGACCTCTGTTTTCAATCTGGGCCTTACATGGTGGAGTAAACAGGAGCGCTTTCACACCACCTCCTGTCGATGTTGACATGAAGCAGCTTCAACCACAGCGTCAAACTGAAGGGACACAATGATAATGAAAGGTGAGAAAATGGCAGCTAGAAGCTAATCAAATGAAACTTTGCAGTTCTTGACTTGCTCTGTGTAAAAGGGCTCAGCATAGACTCAACAGATTTCTTGGGGGGTGTCTGAATCTCTATGGTTAAAATTTAGATGGCAGATTTACATCTACCTGTGTTGTTTCTCTGAACATTACATTATTATGCTGGAAGAAAATGGAAAGATATACAAACAGCAGGAATGAAAGTCAAGAGGAGGTTTCTGAAAAGAGCACTTGCCCTTAAGAAACCCTTGTCAGGTCAGCAGGTGCCTTGGTGTATGCACAATGGAAGGTGCTGTGGGTAGCAGAATAGATAAAATGACTCCAGAGATTTTATTATTTTCACTCACCTGAAAACGATGGACTTCAGCTGATGAAAAAGTAAAAAAGGAAAATTACAAATTCCAGAATATTCAAAAATTTCTGATGTAATGTCTAGCTTTTTAGAAAATTTTCAAGTCTGGAATTGGAAAAATATATTCCTCTGACGTTTTTCTATGAATTAGCATAACCAAATAAAGTTTTATAAGAAAGCAAGTGTTACTCAGAACTGCAAGCACCATCACTAACAATGTTCTCCCACAGCTGTCCCATAAGCATATCAGACATGGAGGTCCGATCTAAAGCCACATACTCTGAGCACTTTCCTGTTCACTCAGTTTTGTCTCATGATTTCCCCTGAAATGCTATCAATTATTAGAATTCAGAATTTGTACCAGATTGTCTCTACTGCTATATAAAGTGCACGTTCTTGTTCCTTTTTTATCTTTCACTTTAGTCACTCCTCTTCTGTCCATGCTAGTTTGTTGTAGGGTTTTAAAGTTTTTTTCTAATGGTTTGTTCCAACTTTTCTATTATTTATCTTGTTTCACTGCTTCCATCTGCCTCCATTGCATCATTTCTCAAAATCTTCTGTTTTTTCTATCTCACTGAAACTGTTTTGGTCTGTTACTCATATATTTATTTCTTCACTCATGAGATATTTTCTGTTGGCAGAAGAAAAGAAATCTCTTTACTCTTGTTCTAGCAGGAAGGGAATGCTCTACTCTATTGCTGCTCTGGAAGGATCAGAGTTCTAACTGAAATGGAAAGACATTTCTGATGCTGATTTCTACCTAAATACAAAAAGTCTCTTCCCTAGAATCAGGCTTTTTACTTCTCATTATCTAATTTTAGCTGTTAGCTCATTCTGACCTTTCCATAGTAATTTTTGTCCCTTAGATCTCATAAAGGAAAAATTTAGTACTGTTTCTGATACTACATGCTTAAATCTTTACCTATTTTCCAGCTGAACATCACACTGCATGACTCCTATGGATTCCTGTCAGCTCTGGAATAAATAAGATGGAAAAAGAAGATAACGTGAATTATAGTTCTACAAATCCTTCTTTTCCTGTTAGATTGTCTATGGAGAAATTCAGTAATAGCTAGGCAATCCATGACCCTTGACAAATCATCTCATTGTTTTCTTAGGCTTTTCTATTTTCTTTTCTGAAACTTTGCCAGTAACCTCTTGGATGCAGCTACCACATTTCAATATTTTTGTGCCAGACCTAGCAACTTAGAAGGTTCATTGTTTCTTGATTTTTAGTTTGTAAAAATAATTTTAAAAAATTATCTGAAAAGATTAGTGCCAAAGTCTATAGATTTTTAATAACTTTTATGGGTATTATTTTTTCTATATAATATAGTCTATTATCAAAATTTGGTGTTTGTTTCACTGCGTTGTATTTGTCTGTCTACCAGACTTGGAGGGTGAAGAATTGTAGTCATTCTGCTCTCCTTAGGGGACCTGCTTGCTGTTTTGTGGTTGTTTTTAGGGATTTCTCAATACCAGGAGGAAAAAGATGCCTGAAAAATTTAGAGTTGGCCTCGCGCTTTACACTGCTGGAGGATGGATCAGTTTGTATCTTTAAAGTATGTGAAGTATGTATTGGTAGGCAGATTTCATCCATGTATTAGAGTACCCTGGGAACTGCTACCAGGACTGTGTACTTTTTGTTAATAGCTTTATTTGTCCGAAGACAGAAAGAGATATTCCAGTACTCACGATATTGCTTACTGTATCGTTATAATCACTGCAACATTTATAACAAAAAATGGGCCAGATCCACCTAAAAATCAGCAGATCCATCTAAAAATTGCTAGTGCTGGGATTTAACTACTTAAAACTCACACAAATAATTTTTCTCTGCCTTCATTTTGCTTCATTTTGATGTCCTTAGAGAAGTCCTTTGTTTTGTCCTTCACATTCACTGCTGGTCCCAGCTGTGGGTGAGCTTCGACTTTCTCATCTTTGGGCACCATCTCTATCTTCCTTCTGGGAAGTCCATTCCTCCTTCCTCATCTCGTGTACTTCTTTTTGGTGTTTAAGCTCATTCAGGAGTTCCCTGTTAAGCCATTCTGATCTTCTGCCACACTTGATCACCTTCCTGCACATATGAATAGATCTATTTTATTCTCTGAGGAAGTTCAACCAGCTCTCCTGTACCCTGGTCCTCTGTGGCTGCTCCCCACTGGATACTGTCAAGAAGATCTTGGAATAAGCCAAAATCTGTTCTCAAAATGTTCATGGTTATAATTCTAATATTTGTCTTCCTCGTTTCTCTCAGGATTTTAAACCCTACAATCGCAGGGTTACTGTAACCAATATGATTCCCAGCCTGTAACAGTTTATGTATTGGAATAGTCTCTCACTTGGTGGGATATTTTAGGTTCTTTGGATCCTTTCAGCCCCTCAGTCTTGCAGGGATTGCATCCACCTCACTGACTGATACTATACTTTCTTCCAGTTTTAATAAAACCATTGAACAAGATTAGGCAAAGAGCAGATCTCTGGAGGACCTGCTAAAAACACCCCCATGGATGATTTGCAATTTACACACACAATTACATATTGCAATATATTAATTGGCTAGCTTTTAACTTGCTTGAACTAGGCTGTATTGATTTTGTATACTCTTAATTTTTATCAGAATGTCATAAATCTAAAGCTATTACACCAGTTACTTATTTTAACCAAGCTTTTAATCCAACTATAAGCAACATCAGATATTTTTGGTAAGACACAGTCAACAGAGCCATGTTGATTGTCATTAATTAAACATCTTAATTTAATTTCTTGTGGATTGCATTCTGTATCAGCCTTTTTTGTGATTCTCCTCAAAATTACTGTACAGCTGGTGGGCCTATTGTTTTAAGGTGATGGCACTTAGAAGATAAAAACATGGAAAGGAGAGAAACAAGTATTTCAGATCTGAATGTCTGTTTTACTGCTCCCTTGGACACTGGTCATGTTGAAAAGAGATCAAGCATACATGTTTAGGATAAAACTTGTCACAGTCAGGAAGCCTCAGCAGACAGAGAAGGCAAACAGTAATTTTTACATTATTTTGTTGCAACAAAAAATTGCTTCAATTTTTCAGTGTTAGAGGATTTTTTTTTGCAAAATGCGTATCCTAAACTAGCAGAACAGAGGTGGCAAGGATGTTGTGCTCTCCCCTGCTGCTCTAAGAGGTTATCATGGAGAGACAACTGTGTCTGTTGAGCAGAACTGGCTGCTTCAGAAAGCATCCTCCTCTGATAAAGCTGAAGGAGACAGAACTCAAATACAGAGGATGGAAGCTCACAATTGCTTTGAATATAGGTCAGATAGTCTTATTGCTTATTCATTAGGTTTTGTGGTTTTTAAGTATGGGTTATTTAGCTATGTAATTGTTTAAACCAGGAAATGAGGCCCAGCTGACACTTACTTGTCACACCTCTCTGTCCACTAGCGTTTGCAATTTAGATTGAGCTAGACAATGCTGTGTACAAACACAGCTACTGCTGTGTGGTGTGGTGTGGCTTACTCGTGCACTGCCACACCAACTTTTTTCCATTAGTAAATATATTGAATGCAATACCTCTCTGGATAAGGCAACCCTTTTGTTTATTAGAAAATTGAGCCTGAGGCAGGTTTCTTGAAAGTTGACAGATATTTAACATCAATTTTCACTGTAAAGGGACAAACATGGTAAACCCCCTGCTAACTAGCCCTCTAAGTGGGTAAAAATTGTGGTTTTAAAGGTATCTTAACATTTAAATCTTTGAAAAGTGTTTGTCTGGGATCGTTTGGTGGGTTTCTGTGTTCTTGGGCCCTCTGAAGTTATCAAGGATTTTCCATAGACCTCAAAAGGAACAATATCAGTATTGTAATGTATACACTCACTGTTCAAAAGAATCATAAATATTCACAGCACTTCTGGCAGGTATATCATCTCTTTAGCCAGCAGAGAAAATGGCATACAAAGAACAATTTTGGTTGTCAAAATGGTAGGGGTTTTTTTCCTCCGTTTATCAGTAGATTTTGCCTTTGGTGCGCTTCCCATGCAAGTCCTGAAGGCCACATGTCAAAGGTTTAAGCATTCCTTTGCCCAACAGCGCTGCTATCAAAATCTTCTCTCCCCTTGCAAACAGCCTTCCCTTCTCCCCACTTTTAAAAATCCCCATTTTTGGTCTGTCTCTTATTTCTTCTCCTAGAAAAACTAAATTATAAAAATCCATCTGAGATTGTCAAAATACAGAAGGGAAGAAGCCTTGTAGACTCAAGATACACAGGTGTTCTGCTGTAGACCAGGACCCTTTTTGAGCTGCAGAGAAAGGGGACAAGATTTCATCCCATATTATTAGCTTAATTGAACTGAAAACAATACCAATTTCACTGGCATGTCATGATGTGAAAATAACCTGGGTGACTGTAGCTCTTCACGCCTTCAAGCTCAAACTTAAAAATAAAATAAGTTGTTTATTTGGCTCTCACTGTTAGCTATTTTCAGATCATCTTGCTTTTTTTTACAGATTGAAGTCACCCTTGATAACTTGGCATCCACAATTTCCAATTCTAAATTCTTGGAGCATTACAAGAAAGTTTGTGTATAAATATCTTTAGAGCAGCTAAACTTCCAAAATGCTGTCGATGTAGCATAGCAACTCTGCATGGGTATGTATTTTAATTGTCTTATTTGTTTCTTAGTAGCAATAACATTACTAGTTCTTTCATCTCTCGCTGTCTACTCCATTGCTTCAAGCAGGTTGAGAAATAATCTAACTAAAAAGGAATTCTAAACCCCTCAGTTAACACGCTTTTCAATTTATGATGCTTGGAATACTGCCATTTGAAAATAAAGGCCACAGAATTAGAGGGTGTACTGTGCTTTGATTTTTTTCCCCCCTCTTACATATAATAAATACTTATTTCTTCCCCACTGATAAAAAGGGAACTCAGGGTGATTAGCACAGCAGTAAGTGGCTCTATTGTAGACGCCTAAAGTTAGATGAGTCGAGACCCATCTTTCTCCACAGTAGAGTGCTTCAGCTCTGCCAGGTGAAATCTCTTGCACTTGAACGAAATTCAATTTCCCTCATTTTACCAAAATACTCCCTCAGCAGGTCCAAATGAGATTGTCCTTTGGTGACCTAACACCTTCAAAGCTGTAAGGTCAGTGACCATCTGCAGCAAAGCAGCAAACTCTTTTCATATTACTCAATATGGACTCAGTGTTCGGAAACACCAACTTGATTTTTTTTCCTTGTTTAGTTAAGAGCATCCCTTTATGTGGCGGCCAAGATAGCAAATTATATGCATGTCTGCAATAAGTCTCACTATTGCTGTCCAACAGGCCATGGACTGAATTATTCTCCTCAGAGAAGAACAAGATTCTTATGAAAATTCCTCAGTCTCAATGGTTTTTTTCATGTTACAGTCACACAGCTGTTATGGGTACTGCTTTCCCACACTTCAAATCTGTTAAAGGAGAAGACCAAAAAACAGAGCAGAAGTATAGGAAGTAAAACTGAGAAGAACTTCCTGGGTGACAAATTCAACTGCAACTGCCTCAAGCAATCATATAACACAATCTCTTTCATAATTCAGCTAAGCACCAAGCTATCACATTTTCACTTTATTACTTTTAGAAGATTGTTCCAGAACCTGAATGTTTTGAGTACACAAATGCTTCTTTGAGTTTCAAGACTGGAATTAATTCATGCCAAATTCTCTTAATCTATGCTGTACTGCTGCCCCTTAGTTTAAACAGCTCTACTCCTACATCGATTTTTATATTTATAGGCAGTGATCATTTCTTCTTCCAGCTCTTAATTTAGCGTACTGAGAGCCAATCTCCCATAGGCTCTCCATCACCCTAATTGCCATGTTAACCCCTTAAAAAATGCATTCCGGCTTCCCTTTTTGCGCATGGATGAACAGGGCTGCATAAAGTCTCCTGCATCAAAACTCACCAAAGTATTCTAGACTTGCATTCATATTTGCAGGTCAGAGAAACCAAGGCTGGTGGAGATCTTTCCAGAGATGTAGGCAAGAAGGTTATATTCTTTTTATCTAGGATATATACAATGACCACATCTCCTTTCAAAACTAAATGGAACTGTTATAGATGATGTCCAGTACACGCTGGCCTGATCAGGAGTTAGAAATGCAGCCAATTACGCACACTTTGCATCCCAAGTGATTGCTGCTGGTGCCCTCCTCAGGGGTTTTTGATATTGCACTGTGTATACTAAGTGCAAATAATAAAGGATAATAATGACAACTGAATAAAACTTATTTTCTTGTGTATGGAACAGAGATTTGATTAGTCACCAGAGAAGAGCTCCCCTTCACAGAAAGCCCAGTGCTGAGCTGGACAGGAGAAAATGCTGAGTCTAAAGCAAGCCACCTTCATGGCCATGACATGCATCAGAAGACTCTAGAAATTAGTACTTCTGTGCAGGATGTGGTGCAACACAGAAATTCAATTTCCCTTATTTTACTGAAACACTTTTAACCTAAATCTCTGGCATCACATCAGTCCATTCATAAGATGTTGATGGTATCTTTGCCAGAGGCTGCTGGAAAGGAAGGGCGTCTTCACCATACAGAACCTATCTCTACAAATCTATGTATCTGTAGGAGGAGATCTGTGGTGTTCAGTGTTCACAAGGCGTGAGAGGATAGTGGGACATCTAGATGAAACATTTTCATGTCTGCCAATCACTCCAAAAGGCAAAGGTCCGGTTGTTAGTCTCCATTGTATCATCATAGTAGCTGTAGTTACTTGCTGCTGATTCAAGATACACCATTTTTATCACAGTTGACATTTCTACTTGAACTAGATCCAATCCATTTTATGTTTTTTCCATCCTTCCCAGTATATGTCTCTGTAAGAAGTTAGCCTTTTGAGACAGAGTAGGCAGCAAAAATCAAAGCATAAATAATACAAAAATACCTAAGTATGTGTACCTCATTTATGCCATGCAAAATGCATTTTAATTAATTTTTCAGAATGGCAAGGATGAATTAGATGAGCAGAAATAAATATTATACACCAAATGACATAAAATTTAGCCTATTTTGTAGTCTTCAGTTTAAAATGGGTGACGGTCTTACATTTTAAAAAGCTAAGATACAAATATTCCGCTCTCAGCTTTGAAGAATTTTGCTTCAACTGCAAAAAAGCAAATATAAAAAGACCTTCCTGGGTCAGAACAGTGGCTTAACAAGTCACTAGTAACAAGCAAAGCTTCAGAGCCTGATGAAAATTCCTTGGATGACCAAAATCTGTGATTCTGTGAAACAGCTAGGAACACTGAAATATAAAGGAAAAAAATCCTTTTTCTTGGTATCTCTTCTAAATAGCAGTCAGAAGGTTTTCTCACTGGAATGTGAAAATTTCTAGACTTTATAGTACAATTCTTTCTGTTCAGTTATCAGAAGTTTTTGAATTTTGGTGAGATCTTGAAGCCATTGTTTTGAAGCAGTAACTTCAGTGGACTAATTATGCGTATGTGGAAGTACATTAATGGGTTCCCCTTCTAGTCATCCTTTACAAATATGAAATTGTAGCAAATTATAATTTCACAGACTTTGGTAAGCTATTTTGCTGAAGCAATAAGAACATTTTATTGATAGAATAAGGGAAGAATGAAAAGTATGAAACAAGAAAAGAAATGGAAGCTAAAAAGAAGAAAAATATATTGTCTCAAAATAATTTGTAAAGAAATTATGATTTCAGTGACTTTGTTTTTCACGTGACCAAACATCTATTTATATGGAAATTTATACTAGGTTATAAGAAGAGAACATATTTTTCAAAAGTATTACTCAAAAAATCAGATAGAGGCAAAAGTAATAACATTATGTAAGAAAAAAAAAGAAAAAAGCTTGAAGACAGACCCTGTATTAAGAAAAAGTTTGTTAACTGATCAAGAAAGGGCTAATTAGAGAATGATAATACAGAGAGTGAAGACAAGTATTAAGAAACAGGTCCGTTTATGTAACCCAGACAAGACGAGAGGGGAATCTTCAATGTAGATGGTGATCAGGCAATGAAGCACTAAAGGAGTTGAAATGGAAGAAAATTATTCTGGCTAAAGACAAGGAAAGTATGTAGTGTTAAGATTAAGAAAACAGAGATTAGATTAAATACTATAGAAATAGAAGAGGACATTACTACACAAAGGATGCTGAAAATTAGGTAAGAGAAGTAAATATGGAAGTTTAGACTGCAGAACTTCTTGGAAATAAACGTCTTAAATATAGTCTTCTCGTGCCTGAGAAGAAAAAAGCAGACTTATAGGCAAGTGAAATGTTGCTGCTTTAGTCACATCTCTTAGGCAAAAAGATCCACAGCTTTCATAAGTCACACATATTGTCATGGAAACAAACTGGAAGTCTTGCCTTGGTAAAGGGTATTTTGAGCCCAACAAAAGCAAAGCTGCACATTTGCTTGTTTCAGTTATGCTAAACAGAGGAGATCTGTTGTCACGTTATGTTTGGATAACTTTATTACAAAGACCGCTTTACCTAGTGCTTTTAACTCATCAGCAAATATGGAAATGAGAAAGAATAAATAATAAAATTATTTATTGTAAACAAATATTACTTCATTTTTAGTACTTCCATATTATTTTCTTGTTGGATGTATTCAAACAAGTTTACTTTCTGGATTATTAGATTTATATTACCTGCTTACATAGAAAGAAGCATTTAAATGTTTAAAACTGACTAGGTTATCTTTTAAATAAATCACATATAAAGGCAAAATGCAGTTTTGGTTTCTCCTTGGCACTATCCAATTCATTGATGGAAAATATTATAGATGGCATCTGAAGTTTCTGGCCATTCTGAAATACCAATTGATCAATGCATTGCTTGAAACCCAAAGGCTGCTACATAATAACAGTGTTACCTAAGAAAGAGTTATTTTATCTAAGCCAGCTCTCATTGGAAAAGAAAGAAAACCAGGAAGAGGAAATAAAATAAGCTAGAAGTGACTGACAAAACTCTTGTATGACATAGGTGTCTAGACTGGACTAAGATTTATCTAGACTGGACTAAGGTGTGCTAAGAATTGTGTCCTCTTTCTGAAACGCTGAAATGAGATACTTTCAAAGAAGAAAAACAATGACATTGAAAGCATGGTCATGTCTAAATATTTAAAACTGGCTGTCCAAATTGTTTACGAAGTTGGGTTTTCAGTGAATACTTTTCAGAAGGCAATCTTATCTCATTAAACAGTCATATCTACAGACATTCACTTCATCTCTGATGGACTGTTCAATATGTTTTCCAAGACGAGAACAGAACTTTAAATGAAGACAATAAGAACCTGGTTCAAAACAAAACATGGAGGGTTTGTTTCGGTGCAAGAAAGCCCCAGGTAGGCATTGCTTTGCCAAAAAGGTCTGAATGTTCCCATTAATTCAAAGGGCCACTATAAGTTTATCACAAATAAATACTCTGAAGGTTACAATAGGCAGAAATCACATGGAGATAGGAAGCCCCCAAGATGAAGATGGCTAGAGGCTGGTAGAGCATCAGGTGTAAGTACTTGCCCTGCTCTTATGTTTTTCTCTATTTGCTTATGGCTGCTGTTGGATACATGAAATGTAGTCAGGGTGAGCTTTGGCCAGTCATACTATGCCCGGTTTTATGTTTTTCTAGTCTAAGCTCTTCCTCCTCAGTTGAGAAACTTGCCTCTCATTGCCATGCTACCATGTGTTCTCGTTGTTTAAACCTTCTAGTCAAAGGTCTTGAAAATGTAATCCCATTTATACACTTCTTTCTGATACCTTCTTTTTTCTTCATCAGAATAATTTCTTTTCCGTATTATCCATTCAGTATTTTTG